AGAGATGGAAAAAAAATTTCTTCTAGTGAACTGAAATACTTATTAGTGTCTAAGAGCTTTTAATTTCAGTCATTTACAACCTGCGGTATAGAAGAAAAACGACATCAAAAATTTGGAAAAACGGATAATGGTAAATTTTAGCGGCCATTTTGCTTTTTTAAAGCTGAAGTATAGTGTGCCGTTGTAGACGAGGTCATCCACTATATTTCTGGGTTTGCAAAATTTGAAAAATGCTTAAGGTTTCACTGCAATAAATATTTAAATAATACCGTTCTTGGTGTTTTAGGAGGGTATAACTTTTAGAGTTATACCCTCTTAGACGGACGGACAGTTTAAGTTCAGTTTAAGTTCAAAAAGATAAATTAAAAGAAACTTATAAATACCAATTACATTACAACATTCAAAAATTTAAAAGCAATGCGAAGACAAATATTTTTAGTTCCACACCCAAATTAATGCAAACCATTTTTAATAAATGAACAGCTTTCTAGATTCCCCAGTTTTTCTCGTGGAACTCCACTTTGTCGTGGTAGAGAGCTGAGTACTATTACTGATCTGCTGAGTACTATGAGCTGATGAATTCGAGAGCGATGTCGACTAACGCTGCTATCCTGCAGTATTTGGCAGGTTCATCCATGCTAATAAAATGGGGAGAGAGAGATTTAGAACTAAGAGAGTTCCAAAGTAGGGCCTCTCACTCTCAAGTACTAATTACACTTCAACGACTTGGGGCAACGAGTAGCTAGTGCAACATATTCCCAAGCAAGTAGCTATTGCAAGCTATTGTGTGAGCTTCCAAATCTGAAAGGTTTGGAGTTAAACCAGCCCATAACGAGCTTGGTTGTCATTCTGAACCCACTTATGGGACCACAAATGGAATAAAACAACAATGGCAACATCAACAAAACAAAGCTATGTCGAAGAAGAAAACAGTACAAGACCTCTTATGCGATGATACAATGGGATCTCTAATCAGGAGCAAGTTAAATTTTCATGTGTCAACGAACGCAGGGAAGGTTGCTACAGAAATAAACAAAATCAAAAGCCGGGGGAATCAACCATGATTCCAAGGTCAAAAAATTCACAGGACTGGCCAACACCCTAAAGAAAAGGTTCTGTAAGGCTTGACATTATAGTCAAACAATTTATAAAGTGCAGAAAATCCCGTATATATATATAATACGTTCTTAACACTATTTTGTTCCTTCTGTGGGAAACTACAAAAAAAAAATTTTGAATATTGCGGCAGCTATTGCTGTCGAAATCTAAAAATTTTATGACTTTGCTAAGTTTTTTATTAACACTAGAAACATGTAATTTTAACAACTTTCCTATAATGTCAACGCTTAATTCAAAAACAACTTTCTTATCCCTAGTGTGTAAATTACACATATGGAATTTTTGTTTTTTATCATATAAATCAATATATAAAAAAAATTTCGAGATTGAGGTTTCTTCGTGATGAAGAAGAAGTAGATGTTGTTGGAAAATGTAGCGATGATAGCGATAGTGATTTTGGTCACGATTAAGCAGAATTTGTTTCAAATGAAGGCGAAAATTTTGACTAAATAATACTATTTCAGATTGTTCAGGTAGTGACGAAAGACGAAGCCAAAACCAAATATGCAAAGAAATAAAGTTGGGTCAAACCAATGGTTTGTATTATAGCACTTTTCCCTTCAACAAGTAAAAATTCTGCTTTTAAATACAGTCTACGTATACCTATCACACTATTAAAATTATTTTCATTCATATACAAAACTATTGCTAGGATTGCATATATTTAGGATGTCGCATATATGCAGTATTTGAAATAAAGCAAAAATTAATATAAAAAGGGGTTAAAATAATGCTCGATTTTAAAGGTTAATTGTGTGAGTTATGAAAAATAATTATATTTTTTAATGTCACGGAATTTACCGTTAGCTTTTTGTGTTTATAGAAACTTGAAAAAGCTTGCGGTTTCGGAAATATAAGGTGTCAAAAATTCAAATTTTACAAATTTCAAGAGGCGATAACTTGTGAGGGGGTGGAGATGGAAAAAAATTTTTTTCTAATGAAATGAACTATTTATTAATGTCTAAAAGCCCTTAAAATTTCAAGCTTCTACAGGCTGGGGTCTAGAAGAAAAACGACATCAAAAATTTGGAAAAAAAAAGACTTTAGATAACGGTAAATTTGGACGGGCATTTTGTTTTTCTAAAGTTTAACCATAGTATACCGCGCTAGGGGAAGTAAGCCGCTGCCTTTCTGCGTTTGCAAAATTTCAAAAATGCTTGTGGTTTCATTGCAACAAATAGTTAAAAAAGGCCATTTTTAGGGTTTTGAGGGATTATAACTTCTAGAGGGGAGGAGATAGGTGAAAATTTTTTTCTACGAAAATAAGTGTCTAGTAAAGATCTATGTACGTACAAAATTTCAGCTTTCTATCTTCAAGGGTGTAAAAGTTTTGTAAACAGACACACGGACGGATAGAGTGAAACTAATAAGCACTTTTTTTCAAAAAATTTTTGGAAAAGTGCTAAAAAATGACCAAAATGCTGATCCATTATTCTTATCAGAAGATGGTCATTACCCTGGTCGAATGAGATCTGAAAATATCTTTACACTTCCTCCAGATATATATGCTAAATCTCTAGTAGATACGCCGAGAAATACGATTTTGCTTTATTTTCCTGGACAAATTGAAAAAATAATGGTTGAAAATTTAAACGCATTTAGTATCGACCTATAGAAGTTCATTCAAATTTGCTGAACGCTTGTATTGGAATTCTAATTTGATGTCATTTTTCTCGATACTAAATTGAGATACTTAATTGAGACAACCGATAATTTATTTAATGAAAATAATGGTCGAGCAATACTCATGGCTTTAACGTCAAAGAAAACATTATTTTATTTGAATAACATAATTCATTTTGACAATGTAATGAGTAAGAAACAACAACTTTCATTTGATAAACTTGCACTAATTCGAGGTTTGTTTAAAAAATGGAGTAACTATTAGGATTCTGAGTAAAATGTGTGTTCCGCCAACATTTGCAGAAAATACGGTTTTGGTTTCCTACGTTATAAGAAAAAACAAATGTTCCATTTTGCAGAGTACTTTCGATTTGTCTATCCGTCTGTCCGTCCCAGCGATAACTCAAAAACTAATTGAGGAAAATTCGCCAAATTTTCACAATTAATTTAATGTAAAGTTAGAATCCTATTTAAATTGGATATGATCGGGGTACTGGCTCGGGAAACTGCCATACAACTTCAAAATTTATTTCACTATATCTTAGGGTCAAGGTGTTTAATAAAAGTCATAGAAATTATTCGGCTCCTTCTGGTAGCTGCCATACAACTTCAAAAGTTATTTCGTTATATCTGAGAAACTGTAGACGCTGTGATATTGAAATTTCTCACAAGCGAATACATATTTAGGGCCAATGTGTTTACTAAAAGCCATTGAAATTGCTTGGCTCCTTCTGGTAGCTGCCACACAAGTTCAATAGTAAATTGGCCATATCTCAGAAAATATTGAAAGCATAGTACTGAAATTTTGCATAAACTAATATGGCAACTTAAAGTAACTTAAAGCCTTATAGTTAGCTATGACATATTTGTTCGCACATAGAATAGCAATTTCGTACGGGTATCACAGAGTTGACACGGTCAACTCTACTTTTTCTCGGTTTCAAATAAATTGACTTAATTTATTTTCTACTTTTTTATTCTTTTTATTTTAAATAAAGTATATAAAATGTATAGGTGTTCATATGTTTAGAAATCTACACATGAAGTATAAACAGCCAGATATCCAGAGCAACTAAACTCAGAAAATTCATTATTAAATACTCTGGCTGAAATCAGTGAGTGATAAAGAACTCTGGGTAATAAAAGGTGAGAAAATATAAAAAATAATGAAGAACTCTGAGTGATAAAAGGTAAGCCGACAAGCATAGCAGAAGAAGAAAGTTTATGTGGATTGGACACACTGTAAGAAAATCCGTAAACAACATAGTTAGAATGATTTTATAAGAATGAGTGGAATCCACAAGACTTAAGAAGACCTCCATGCCCCAGAAATTTTTGGCATAGTTTCGTGAGGTGAAGCAGGTAACTAATAATAGCACATAATGTCATGTGGAAGCGCTATACTTCCAAGTGGAGTAAGAAAAATATGTTATAGAAACTAATAATACAAAATTAGTGATATTGCCATAATTTTTTGTAAAAATTTGTAAGATAGTTAAGATCGTAACTAGGCAGTATTTTTGAAATAACTACATTTAACCATACTATATATATTTCTATACATATCACAGAGTTGACTGCGACAACTATATCAACATTTTTGTCAAATAAATCTTTTCTTAAAATTTGTTAATTGGGGTAGAAGTGAATTAAATTCATAGAACGAAATTTTTTTGTTTGGATTACTATGTTTGTAATTTGATCAACTAAACTTAAACTAGAATACAATAACTTATTATGCTACAAAAGTACTGGAGCTTATGCGTAGATGATATTCAAGCAATATAATTTTAATGAATATTAACATATGATATGTTTCCTGATTATGTATATAGTCTTATTAGATATAAGGTAAATCTGAAAAATTAAATTTTATTAATATAAATTTGGTGAATCTATAATGACATTCTTCTAGAAAAATCTTCATAAATCTTCAATTTTTATTTTACTTACAATGTTATAATTAATTAAACTAGAGGAGTAAAATTGAGAACTCCTAAAAATAACAAACGTTACAATTTTAATTTTCAATACCTTCAAGTATCTTATTTCTCCTTTATACTTGTATCTTTCTGCTATCTCTTGTTAAAAAGTTTAAGTATAGATAACTTACCTCAGTATGTAGTGCACACCACATAATAATAACTAATTATATTTGGCTATGTACATACATGAGTATTTTTATTTAAAGTATGCTAATTCAAGATTTGTGTGTTTTGTATACATATATGAAATATCGTTAGTATGTGCATATATACCCTTTGTTCCCAAAGATCCTGTGAAGAAATAATGACAAAAATATAATTAAAAATCCCAAGTTTGTAAATTGCTGCTTTCACTTACTGAACGTTCCTGAAATTTAGAAGAAGATGTTTTTAGCAAATTTTTGAAAATATAAATAAAATTTATTTAAAGTTTATAGGATAAAAGTTTCGTTTGAAGTTTATAAGATAAAATTTGTGGCAAAGGGGCATTGATTTTGTTGGCCCAAAAAAATTTATTTGCCACAAATAAAGCAAACGCAAGAAATGTATTTTTTGTTTCAAAAATTTATATTTGTTGTAAAAATAATAATATGTATGTATATATTTCACATAGAACTGAATCTTTTTGTTTTAGAGAATTAAAAAAATATTCATTGAAAAGTTCTGATAAATGCTCATAACACTCTTGAAGCGGTTAGAACGAAGTTAATGTATTGTTCGCAACATTTATCTCAGTTAATAGACCTCAATAATGACATTATAAAAGCCTTGATACCAAAATAATAAATGCTCAAACATGAAAAAAATATGGAGTAAAAATATTCTAAAAAAATTGGGATTGCATGACAGATAAAAATAGTTTTTTTAAAAAATATTTAAAAAGAAACTAAAATAAAATTATTTGCGATTGAATTGTAAAATTAGTCTCCATATAGGATTTTTAGGATTACTAGCCTATTGTGGCAAAATTATAATAACCAACATAAAATGGGCCAGATAAGGTCCTGGTAATAAGTCAAAAGTGACTAACTCGAGTTATAAAAAAGAGTTGATATTCCTTTTGAATTCTACGCATTAACATCTCTATACTGAGAGATTTTAATTTTGTAAAAAATTTGGTGTAAATACCTTCTCTTTAAGATAAAAAATTTTGCTGTAACAAAAGTGTATTTTTTCCTGTCAGATTTTGTCAAAACGTACGGTCTCAATTATTTGCTTAACTTGCTTATTTTAATAGCAGGAAAAATAACCAAAATTTAATTATAAATTTTAGTAACTGATTGGATTGGTATCAGAGAATTTGGCGAAAAAGTGCCAAAATTTGTTCTACTTTACATGCCGCGAAATTTTTTTTCAACTAGTTCCACTAGTTCCCTTGGATTTTATTTTATAATCAGATTGTCAAGGTAAAGGATATAATTCATTAACCTATACATTTTTAATTATTTTTAAAAATTCGGTTATTCAATTATTGCATTGTTAAGGCGTTTGAGAAAGTATTTTAATGAAGGCTATGTACTCGTATGTATAAACTTTGAGATTGTCAGCAAAGGGCTTACCTTCACAAAATAGTCATTTATATCTGTTCAAAAAACGTTCAAAATTATATTTAAAGCTGTTTAGAGACTTTTACAAGTCATAACAATATTACTTCAATCACAAACCAAATGATATAACAAAATCAAATAATTGATGATGAATCGTAAACGAATAACACCTGTTATGGTACTTGTGATTTTTACCGACCGTATCGCGTATACAATAGGGAAGTCTAAGTAAACTATTTTTAGCAACCTGTCGGTCCGTCGGTCTGTCGGGCTGTCGGTCTGGCGGTCTATCAGACCGTCGGTCCGTCGGTGTGTCGGTCTATCGGTCTGTCGGTCTGTCGGTCTGTCGGTCTGTCGGTCTGTCAGTCTGTCAGTCTGTCGGTCTGTCGGTTTGTGTGTGCACCCGTGTATCTCAAGTTCGGCTGAACCGATTTTGATGAAATTTTATATGTAAGTTTATTTCGACCATGGCACGAAATGATCAGCTTTTGGGATGTATCAGGCCTCAGGAACTGCACTTTTTACCGGGCTTGTTTTACATTTCTGACCATTTTAAAGAAAATATTCAACCGACTTGCTTAAAATTTCATATATAAGCTCAGCTCGAACGTCCGCGAAACCTCCCAACTTTTGAAAAATATCAGGCGTCAGCAACTAGACTACGGGTCAAATATACATTTTTGTGTATATAAAGAAAAAAATCAACCGATTTTATTGAAATTTAATATTTAAATTCTCCGTACAAAAACAATTAATATATAAATTTTTTGGAAAGATCAGGGCTCGAAAACTGATCTGCGAGCCGATTATACATTTTTCACCATATCTACGGGACGAATTGATGGAATTTCTTGAAATTTGATATTTGAGTTCTGGTTGTTACCGCAAGTAACTGGCGAGCTAACATTTCCAATTTTTAGGACATTAGTAAGCTTATAGTTAAAATTCCTTTAAAAATGTAAATTTGGCTCTTAGTAGAGTTTCGCTTTGTGCTACCCGAATTCCCTGAAATGCTCGCCGACTAGTTTCGGTAACAACCAAAACACAAAAATAAAAATTTCAAGAAATTCCATCAATTCGTTCCGTAGATATGGTGAAAAATGTGAAATCGGCCCGCAGATCAGTTTTCGAGCCCTGATTTTTCCAAAAATTTACATGTACATTGTTTTAATACGAGGAATTCAAATATTAAATTTCAATGAAATCGGTCGATTATTTCCCTCTATATACAAAAAAATGTATATTTGGCCAGTAGTAAACGTCCAGTTCCTGATGCCTGATAAGCTCAAATATGTAATTTCAAGTAAATCGGTGATCACTTCGTGCCATGGTGGAAATAAACTTACATATAAAGTTTAAACAAAATCGGTTCAGCCGAACTTGAGATACACGCGTGCAAGTTATATATCCGACCAATAAGATTTTATCGAGAATAATAGAACTAAACTCTATTAGTCCTAAAAGTAATAAAATATAAAATTTATTATATGATTTTTAAAATTTCAACTTAAAGAATTTTATGACTTATTTAAATTCAAACATAAGAATCATAATTTCTGATTTCTTCTTTTTTATTATTCTTATTATTATTTCTTAAGTACTTGACCTATCATAATTTTGAACAAACAATTAAAATACAAAAAACTAAATTTCAACACATTTATTTTTCAAGTTCATTAACTGAAATATTAAATTACATTAAAACGCAAACTTGAAATTATTTTTTTTCGTTCATTAAAATTGAAGGATTATATTACAAAACGGCAAAAGAAAAATTTGTTTCACAATTTCCTTTTCAAATGCAACAAACAAAATTTATTGCATTTGAAAAAAAGAATATTACGTAAATTATATTTTTACCAACCGTATTGTGTAGACAATAGGTAGGTTATGTGATGGCAACAAATTTTGCATATCGAGCTTTCGGTGGGAACGTACTTCTCCATAGAAGGGAAGTGTAAATAAACTATTTTTAGCAACCTGTCGGTCTGTGTGTGCACGTGTGTATCTCAAGTTCGGCTGAACCGATTTTGATGAAATTTTATATGTAAGTTTATTTTCACCATGGCACGGATTGATCAACTTTTGGTATATATCAGGCCTCGGGAACTGCACTTTTTAGCGGGCTTGTTTTACATTTTTGAATATTTTGAAGAAAATATTCAACCGATTTACTTGAAATTTCATATATAAGCTTTTCTCGACCGTCCGCAAAAACTCCTAACTTTTGGAAGAAATCAGGCATCAGCAAATGGACGTTTAATACGGGCCAAATATACATTTATGTGTGTATAAAGAGAAATAATCAACCAATTTCATTGAAATTTAATATTTGAATTCCTCGTATTAAAACAATAAACATATAAATTTTTTGGAAAGATCAGGCATCGGCAACTAGACGTTTACTACAGGCCAAATATACATTTTTGTCTATATAAAGAGAAATAATCAGCCGATTTCATTGAAATTTAATATATGAATTCCTCGTATTAAATCAATGAACATATAAATTTTTTGGAAAGATGAGGCATCGGCAACTAGACGTTTACTACGGGCCAAATATACATTTTTGTGAATATAAAGAGAAATAATCAACCGGTTTCATTGAAATTTAATATTTGAATTCCTCGTATTAAAACAATAAACATATAAATTTTTTGGAAAGATCAGGGCTCGAAAACTGATTTTCGGGCCGATTTTACATTTTTCACCATTTTGAAGAAAATATTCAACCAATTTACTTGAAATTTCATATATAAGCTTCGCTCGACCGTCTGCGAAAATTTCTGGCTTTTGGAACAAATCAGGCATCAGCAACTGGACTTCTACTACGGGCCAAATATACATTTTTGTGTATATAAAGAGAAATAATCAACCGGTTTCATTGAAATTTAATATTTGAATTCCTCGTATTAAAACAATAAACATATAAATTTTTTGGAAAGATGAGGCATCGGCAACTAGACGTTTACTACGGGCCAAATATACATTTTTGTGTATATAAAGAGAAATAATCAACCAATTTCATTGAAATTTGTTATATGAATTCCTCGTATTAAAACAATGAACATATAAATTTTTTGGAAAGATCAGGGCTCGAAAACTGATTTGCGGGCCGATTTTACATTTTTCACCATTTTGAAGAAAATATTCAACCAATTTACTTGAAATTTCATATATAAGCTTCGCTGGACCGTCTGCGAAAATTTCTGGCTTTTGGAACAAATCAGGCATCAGCAAATGGACTTTTACTACGGGCCAAATATACATTTTTGTGTATATAAAGAGAAATAATCAACCGGTTTCATTGAAATTTAATATTTGAATTCCTCGTATTAAAACAATAAACATATAAATTTTTTGGAAAGATGAGGCATCGGCAACTAGACGTTTACTACGGGCCAAATATACATTTTTGTGTATATAGAGAGAAATAATCAACCAATTTCATTGAAATTTAATATATGAATTCCTCGTATTAAAACAATGAACATATAAATTTTTTGGAAAGATCAGGGCTCGAAAACTGATTTGCGGGCTTACTAATGTCCTAAAAATTGGAAAGAAGTATTTAACAGACATTTTTATAATATTCTGTAACACTTTCATTTAACTAGGCAATACACAATGCGGTCGATTATGTGCTGACCACATCAGATTTTTTTTTCTTGTTTTAATAAATTAATGTTACTATGTAAAAAATTGAACAAAAATCGATTTGATTTTTGAATACTTTTATAATAAGATTTCAAAAAGTAAAAAGTTTAGTTTAAGTTTTGGTTTCATCGAGTTTAGTAATAAAAGATTAAATAAGAGAATA